ATGGGGATACCATTATGGTACAAATAAGTACTTCATACTCAAAGTAGTTCAATATATAGACAGGCTTTTAGTACAGCTCCTGTTATCCATGTTTCCAGGACTTCCTGAAAAAGGTTATTGAAGTATCTTTTTTTTTTTAAAAAAAAAAAGAAAAAGGTAGGGAGGTAATTTACTTCAATAAAGAATTCCATCAAAGAAAGGCAACTGTCCTCAGCCTACAAACTGCACACCAAAGTCTTCAGATGGTGGAGAACCACAGGACACGTCTGGACCTGAGGGAGTTCTGAGACTCATCGCACGTGATCCAAACGCTCTGTTCTCCTGGGAGGGTCTCGGCTGCGTGTGCAGTACAGTCCCCAGCAAATTTAGCAGTGTCAGCCTCAGGAACCCTCTTGGGCTCTTCTGCTGCAGCAGGGAAGGTGGCTCGCTCAGCAGCCTCTGCCAGCACTGCCAAGTGGCAGGTCCCCTCTGTAGCCCCGTGTGGGATCTGCCCTCCAATTGCCCGAAAACAACCTGGGGCTCAAAGGTCACAGGTTCCTAACATCCAGCCCTGCTGCCACCTGAGACACAACTGTTATTCCAGCTTAATGACAGAGTAAGGCTGAGCTGCAGCTCCCCAGGCTGCTGCCTGCAGAAAAAGCACATCCTGTCCCTTCCCGAGCCTTTTTCATGATGCATCAATAAAAATAATGACACAAGGTGAGGCCATCCGCTTTGGCAGTTAGCTTTGATGACACCATCCATGTGAAGGACTCAACACAAAGACAGACATGATCCTTGACTACTAATGATGTGCTTTGTTATTTAAGGCAGGCATCAGTCCCTTTGTGTATCAGTTCACTAATTGTAAAGGCAGAAAATATTCTATGAAGCTAAGGTATAAGTTTATTTGGGCTTGAAAAAGCTTGAATCATAGAATCCTATAATGGTTTGGGTTGGAAGGGACCTCAAAGATCATCTAGTTCCAAATACAAGAAAGCAGAAAACTTGGTCTAACAGTGCTGTTATATTTAATAGATACCCTAGAATAGGATAAAACAGGAAGAAAATTAATTGAGGTAAAGATATTTCAGTCATAGAAAACAGAATGTAAGGCAGGAAGCATGCAAATGCCAGACCAGGATTGTACACTGTGCTAAAAGAAGGACATAATATTGTGCTGAGAGTACCTGGGTGAATGTGTTGAATGAATTCCATAAAAAACCTGAGTATTTACTATCTACAGCAAATCAATTCAGTAGTATTTACATGACAAATGCAGAGAATGCTTCAAACACTGTCTGGAAAAAAAAAGGTCTGTACTCTGATACAGCAAGCACCTGTTTCCAATGGCAGCTTCTGGGTCCAAATATGACATTTGCTTTCTTTAGTCAGAAAGAATCTATCTTTTTTTGTGTTCTTAAACTAGAGAGGGAAGGGGAACAGCATCTGGAAGAGACAGTATTGTTGCCAGTATGAACAATACACATTCTGGAACTAGGTCTTTTTTGGCTGGCAGTTAAGACTTCAAAATAACACAACTCCACAGTCATTTACTGTGCTGTTTAGTACTGAATTCAGTTTTACAAAACTGTAATCATAATTAGCTGCTTCTGCTCAGGGAAAAAAAACCACACAAACGAGGTATTTTATAATACTTTTGAACCCTGGAAGGTACATCGACGTTTTCATAGTTGTCTCCTCCATGTTTCTAATAATGTAATAATCAGTAATCAACTTTTATTATTCTCTTAGGTTATTAATTCCTCAAAAGTTACGTGATATGCATTTTCTCATATAAAAATAATTTGGCTGTAGAACACCAGGTTAGCTGGACACCCAGATCCTTCATCACAAAAACATGTTTTAATGCAAGTAAGCACCATAATGCAAGTAAGCACCAACTACAACAGATACAGAAAACAATAATGCTGTATCTGGCATGAAGGAGCATAAGTTAGTGAAGTAAACCATTCAATCATACTGCACTGAATTCCTAAAATATTCTTATAATGTAGCTTAAAAATACTGTTCAATAGTTTAAAATGACTTAATTTTTTAAAATGCCTACGTTTCAGCAAACGTTTATCTGGTTTTGTATACCTAGGCCTACTCTTAGGCAAATGGGTAAGTTGTTTCCATCCATTGGTTGTAATGCTGTGAATCCAGCCATCACCTGCAATGTAAGAACACAGAACATTAGTACTTTTTCTTGGGACAAAATAACTAAAATAACAAAAATAACCACCTTTGTTATTTACACAAAAAGCTCTGTGTTCTAAGAGCATGTTATATTAAGGTAACAGTAACATCATCACTACTTTAACTTGCATCTTTACGGTGTTTGTAACTCAACTAGTCATAGAAAGCTCAGTGTGTTGAAATCTAGAATTAAAATACGCTTACCTTTTTTCTGTTGGGTACATTGAGAAGCATCACCCCCTTCCAGTGGAATATATCCGTGATGCTCAAAACTCTTTTCACTAATTTCACATTTTTTCATGAAAAGAAGTTGCCTTTTCTAGAAAAGGAACTCCATGTAAGCCTATCCTACCTCCTATTTGACATTTTGTAGCTGTGATATGTTATTCTTCAAAAAAATCTACATTCTGTTGACATTATTGGTATCTTCTTCCTGCAATTGCTGTTGATACCAAAAGTTACCCCTTGTTCATACCAAAATGCACGAGACTCTTGCCTTTATTCTTTTAGATGACACTTTGACAAAAGATTTGTTATTTTACGTTCTCCTTGTACTACACATGCTCTTACATTTCTACCAAAACAGTAAGATAGAGAAATACTCAAGCACCACGAAAGTTCTGCAACAAGATTCAAGTTTAAGTAGTCTGATAAAGACAACAGATGTGCACACTACACGAGGTTAGTACTAAAGTGTACAACAGAATTATAATATCTAAATTACTTACTTAAAGGAACGTTATCAGAGCTTAATCCACCAAAAAGAAATAGTCTGTCATCTCCTATCGGAGTCAACGTGTGCCAGGATCGATCTTTTGGTTTCTCTCCACTGATATTAATTCTTGGTGAAACAAAACAAAAAAAAAAAAAAACAAACAAAAAATATTTTCAAAGAATGCTGAAAATTAACCTGTCAGAAAATGTATAGTTAGTTTAGTTTGTCGTAGAACAAGCTTGGATGTTTTCCCAGTGAAAAAGCTGCACTTATGCAATCTGAATTTACTCTTTAAGAGCCGTGTTCAAATCTAAACGACGTAATTTCTTGTAGTAACTGTTCTCAACAACCAGTTATGTAAATATCAAATGTAAAGACAAAAGCATTGATTGTTACTTTGTTTGTTTGTTTTCTTAAGATCACTAAAGCTGCTACTTCATGTACAACTGAAGGCACTCAGGACAGCAAAAGAAGGACAATATATTCAAATAAACTGCACAGCACATGCAGGTAAACAGACTCCGTCACTGAGACAAAATTTAATGAATCCCAAGTCTCTCCACTCCTGGGAAAATGATCTTAAATGATACAAGGATTATGGCTTTACCTTTTATCCAAAAGCTACTACCCTCTTCAATCATTGTGCCTTTTAACACAAGGGTGGGTCACGCAAACTTTGAGATATATTTCAGGAAAAAAGTGGAATTCCTAAGTACAAAACAGATGGAGGTTTACTATCCTAAAAATCTGGCCATGTTACACAAATATAGTTCTTCCAGTTTGTATCTGTGGATTGATTTCATTTTAGCTGCACAATTAGGTATGCTTGAGATGAGAACCTGAAGAGTAAAGGACCTGAATATAAGGGATTACCTATAGTGAGTGCTTGAATTCACATCATCTTAATTTAGGCAGTTCGGTGTACAGTTATCCCAGGGGGATCCCAAGAGTCCACAGGGAAGAGTAAGGACCTCCAGAGGGCATCAGCCCACCTAGAATCTCGATACTGAGCAAAGAGGCAACTTCTGTTGTAAAGCACCTAAAGTCAGAGACAAAGAATCCAGGCCACCACGTACTCAGTGTGTCCTCATTTTGGAAAGAGGATGAAAAAAGCAGGTGCAAACACCTGTAAACCGTCTTGCAGGGTCAGAGCCTTAGTCAGAGACTGTGCAGATCAGGTAAGAAAGGAATGCCCAATCCAGGTAGACTGTATCTCAAAGAACCAGTTACTTTTTGTTTCCTCCACTTTGCTAAAGTGAGGCGAGTGTAACATACACAGTTGTGTGCTCGCCCTACAATATGGACAGTGCAGTCACCCACATTTCCTTTATACTCAGTGAAGAGAAGCAGGTCCTTGAAAAGCACAGCTCATGACCTGTTTTAGATGCCTACCTTGGCAGCCGTTGTCTCGTGCCCCAGAAGTGCATTTCTCTCAGCTGAGCCCAGAGGAAGCCTAGGGTGAATAACACGGGCATCTGCAGTTCAGCGAGAGGAATTTCACTACTGGTGGCTGCCGAGCAGTTCTCCATCTGGAAGCCAAGACTGAAGAATCATGGCTAATTAAACATGGATTGCAAAACTGTCCTACTAAATTTGGCACTGCAGGCGAAGCCAAGTCACAGTGTTTGAGTGCCTGCTTTGCACAACTCTTGTATAAGATGCTTCTAAAATTGGCAAAAAGAAGCAGGCTGTGCTGAGATACAACAGGCTTTGATGTTTAGAAAAATGTATACCACACACCCTGCCCATGGCAGGGGGGTTGGAACTGGATGATCTTGGTCCCTTCCAACCCAAACCATTCCAGGATTCTATACTGATGGGTGATAACGTTTCAATCTTTCACACTAGTAATACAAAAAATCATCACAGTAACAGAAATAACATAATATCGAACATTTTGAATTAACAAGTCAGTGCACCTCAGGGAAGGCAAGGTAACTTCTGGGTAGTGGCAACTAAAATAAATATGGCAATCTCATCTTGGAAGATATTCCTGGATTAACAGGTTAATATTATCCAATTCCTTAAGAACTGCATAGAGTTGATTAGGAAAAAAAAATCTCGATATGGCTGGTTAATGAAAAGCCACAGGGTTTTAAATAAAATCATCATTGCATTGGAATTTTCCTTTTAAGAGAGGATGCCCAGTAAGTGTATAAGGAATCCAGTAAGTAAATGAACCAAGTCCTCCTCGCTGGGAGATCCGTTCTTTACAGAAGAACCTCAAACACCTGCAGTCAACTTGTTTTGGTCAGCAGCATTCAGCCAGCCAAACTTCTTAATCTGTATTAAATCCTTGAGTCTTGTTTGGTGGTAATTCACGTGGCCATCAAAGACAACCTCTCTGCAGCTGCAGGACAGCTGAGAGAAATCTGTTATCGCGATCAGAAAGGTTGTATCCTGCCCAATTTTTAATTCATCATCGGATCAGGTATCTGATTTAGTTGAAAATTGAATGTTTAGGTCATGCTTTTTACGTGACTTTAAAAAAAATGGTTAAGATGCTTATCTCGGAGGGAGGGAGATCTTTACCCAATCTGTACCATAATGAGCCAAATATAGATAGTAAAAGTAGTATTCAAAAAGACATCAAAACTAAAATTCCATATGGATAAATGTACCCCTCTTGAAAATTAGGATGTTAAATCACTACATGCTGTGCTTAAAATAGCATCATCAACGCTTTGGTGCAGAACAGAAAAACCTTAGTAACCACCATCAAATTAAATTAAATTGAAATCACAATGCAACAGCTGTTAGAACAGTCCCCAAATTCCCATTCTCCTCTTGGAAAAGCCACAAAATGAGCACTGGAACTATTTAACAGTGTGTTTCAATCTGCTACGTTCAACTTTAAGTGTTATAGAAAGAAACCTACCTTCCAGACCAAGTCCAAGTGTCTAAATTCAGGCAGTGCAAATCATTCATTCTAGTTTGCTAAAACAAATAAATAAAATCCCAGTTGTGTTATATCAAGCAAACAATGAGCAAAGTATTTCAGCAAGGCCTTCCCAGGGTAGAATATTCCAAATAACAACACTTTGAAGAAAACTGTGCTCATGTGCCTTAAACCAACTCTGTATTATGTGGCAGATGAAAAGCATTTCTTCTCAAAAAACCCATGCAACTCTCGGAAAACTCCCTGTCAGGTGTGTTTCCAGTAAGGCAACGGCACTATGGGGCCAATTTCAGCTTTTACCAGTAGTTTAATAGTGCAGAACCATGTGATATTCAGGTAGGTAATTGCACAAGGTGTCATATTCTACATACAGCTTCCTGTCGTTATGTTTCTTTGTGTTCTGTTCAGAACTATGCCTCTTCCTGCCTGGGCACTAATTCCTTGAAATATTCTAGCTGGTACTGTCCTCGGTACATGACACCCCACACAAAGTCCATCCCATCTGTGCTTTTCTCTCTTTTCTGGAAAGCAAACCCTTTCACAAAGTTCCTACTAGCAACAAGGAGGTTTTATGACCCTTTAGCATTTGCCATAACAGAAGGTATCAATAAGAACAATGGGAAATCAATACACTTGCATATCTGCCTGCATCTTGAGATGAAGGAAGTAATTGCTGTAGAAACATGGGGGGGTGGGAAATAAGGAAGAATGTCTTTGCTTCAGATGGTAGCAGTATTTTCAATGGCTCGCAATACACCTGACTGGTATTTGTGATTCCCCTGGGTACTACAAAACAGCATCTGAGAAGTAGGGAAATGTATCTTGCCTTACCTGGCAATTTCTTTTCTCCTAGGGTAGTCCACAGATCTATTAGAATAAGCCTTTCTCCAGCCTGCAGATCCTTTGAGGAAGAAACTAGACTTGTCGTTTGAGTAGGAGTAGTTCTACCCCTGAGAACTCAAGCCAGTGAGTGAGCGGGAGAGAATTCCAAAGCTGTCCAGCAGAGCTATGGAAAGCCTCTCAGGGTGTTTCAGGAAACAGCAAAGTTTTCAGGACACCTATGGCCTCCTCTGATCAAGTATATGCTAGCCCTTTTCTGCCCTGGGGAAGAGAATGTTAACTAGCATTTTCGAACGCCTTCAGAGAGGCTGACGGGCTAAAGAAAAGCAGAATGTGAGGGCTTTTGGCTTTATCCCTGCAAGAGGGTGAACGTCACCATAAAGTGTGATCCAGCTGACAGCTAGTGGAACAGATCTGTCTTCCATGACAAGTCTATTCAGGCTCCTGCTCCTTCAGGTGGCTTTCAAGGAGATGAGGAACAAATCATACAAGTAGAAAGCAAAATGCAATTTCTGAGTATCTTCTGCTGTACCTGTACACAGCTAGACACTTGGGTGGGGAAAAAGCAGCAGCCTGGCCTCTAGAACTAAAAATATTCCATCATCTTGGAATAACAGTTCAATACGGAGGGCATCTATTAAAGAAAGGGAAGAATGCAAGTTGCTGTTATGTTGGAAATTAAGGTTTCAAGAAGATTCTGTTCAAGACCTCCTCGCTGACCTTCCTTTCCTGGGCATTAGGCAGAAGATGGAGTGGTTTTCAGTTCCTCGGTCCCTGGGAAACCAATGTATTATAATCTTTACATTCTCACGATTCGACAGATTGACAGATGCATCATGACACCAACCTCATTTTGAATTCAAAACACAGCATCACTTGGGCATTTACGTCTAAGCTTCAGTCCTTTCACACGACTTCTAACAAATGAAAACGCCTTTCCACCCGACCCTTATTTGGGAAACCGCAAAGCCCACCGTCAGGGGACAGTACTGTCACTTGTCACAGGCAAAGTTTTCTTGCAGCTTCTCCTGTATTTCTAAGTGCTACCTACCACATTTAATCATTTGGCTGATAATCCTACGATGATTCTTAATTGGCTTAAGGCATCAAGCCTCATAAGAGGGTTTGCGTTTCCCTCTGAGCTACAAGGACTCCTTAGACATCCTGCTTATCCGTGGCATGTTCAGTTATTTGCAGCCCAGCCAGGATCTGCTTTGTCTCAGGATTAGCTTCCTAGCACGATGAAAGGCACGGGTGAAATATTTACAGCTCGCTGCCGTTACACCGAACTCCGTGCAGCTCTCCATTCCGAGACTGACAATCAATCAGCTACCACAGCTCAAATCTTTGTAAGAGAAGGACTGTCTGATCTTCACTGGCAGAAAGGGTAACAGGAAGTATAAACGTGCATGCATTAGGGCGTCAGATGTGTGAAGGGCTGCTGGAAAGACTTTGTTTTGTTACTTCATCATTCTTTACATGAAAACTTTCCACTTAAATCAAACGTGAGGCTTCCATCAACTTTCGGACTAACTCTCCTTCCTTCCCACTTTCTCCCGTTTCTGTTTTTTCAGGGGCTTACCTGGAGGAACAGAGTCCACATAACACTTCTGAGCCTGTTTTCAAATGATTCCTGGTACAATTGATTTTGATCATCATCATCTTCTTTTACCAGTTCTAGCTCCAAGTTTGGAAAAAGGTGCCCTTTCCTCCCAGAAAGATGAATAGGAGAAGCCTCATGACACTTCCTGGCCCTTTCTGGTTCCTTGTAGAGCCTTTTCCCTGGGAAGATTCGTATTATGGTGAACTAGAAGGAGAAGGAGGAGCAGAGCAACCCCATATTTGCTCCTTAATTTATGGAGAAAAGCAAGACTTCATCCTTTGGGGAGGAGTTACTCTTGTTGTCAGGAAATGCAGTGTTTTTCTGATCTCTTTAGCTTTCCTATCCTGTTCCATGACTTACATTAATTCCTCAAGCCTCACTGAATGTTCCCTAATCTTTGTTAAGTTTCCTTCCACTTACTTCTAGGATAGAAAGTGAATCAATAATAATCACTAAGGTGAAAATTCCACTTGCTGCTCTCCTGCAAAAGTAAACATAGCTTTCCAAAATTTAACTCTTCTCTGACATGGTACCCAAGCGGTTTCACTGAAATTTGGCAAGTGATTATTAAGGAAGCTGATGCTACCTGAGGAAGAGGAAAAACCTCTTCAGATCAGAGCCTTCTTGTATCTCCAAATCCTGTAGTTGAAAAGTCAGAGTTAAATAGAAGCCAGAGGGCATGTCCTCTTAGGGCATACCTAATGGTGCAACAGCACAGTGGAGAATCATAGAATCATAGAATGGTTAGAGTTGGAAGGGACCTCAAAGATCATCCAGTTCCAACCCCCCTGCCATGGGCAGGGACACCCTCCACTACACCAGGTTGCCCAAAGCCTCATCCAACCTGGCCTCGAACACTTCCAGGGATGGGGCATCTAGAAGTGACAAGCGAGCTCCAGTTTACTAATAATTTCACTTGCAGAGGCTGCATGAGGATCCTCGCCTGAGTTACAAAGCACTCCAGTTGCAACAGGTACAGTGCAGCAACCCTAGCGAGCTAGCACAAAACATTCAACGCTGTTCTGGTCCTGGGTGAAGACCTCTGCACCACACAGAGACAGCCCTTGCTAACAAAAAGCCAGAGGGAGCACGGCTTCGAAGGCTGAGAAAGCGTTCAGAATTAAATGGTGGGCCAGAAGGTTCTGAGCTGCATGTTTACTCCTTCACATCTAGGTTTCCTTCCCTCCCACATCTCCAGGCTTGCTAAGCGAGGAGCAGGATTCAGTTCAGCTGTGGTCAGCCAGAGTTCGTTTACACAGCAGACACAAAAGAGCAAGTCCATAGCAGAAGCCCAGGGCTCGCTTAGCCCGGCGTGGCTAACCCTGACACGCAAGCTTCAAGTAAGACTAGATACTTTTCAATCTCTTCTAATATCTCTTTATTTCCTTAATTGTTTGCAAATCAAGTTTGCCCAAACCTACGGCTCTGGAAGCTCCTGCGTACAGTTCTCTCTCAGTCAGAGGTGGGGCTCTAGCAGCAATTCCAGAGCTCATGAGCCTGTACGAAAGGCCACGTAACGCAGAATGGTAGGAATAAACAGGATCAATTTCGGCTACTTTCTTTGCTGATTGCTCTGGAAAGGTGCTTAGGTAAAAACTCTTCCTGCAGCTGTGGGAGGGAATTCAGACTGAAAAACTGGCTGGGCACTGCGTGGCCGTTCAGAACCTGCCTTGATCGCCAGGTCTGGTTTCTGTCTGAGCAAGCAAGAGTAAGCCATTTTGTAACAGAACTGCAGACTTTCCCTGGGAAGAACACTGCATAATGGAGTACAGCTTTTACAGCATGAAAAAAAAAGGGGATAGGGAACAAAGAGCAATTTTACACTGTTTTATCTGCAAGTACTTAAGAATACAGGGTTTAGGTTATGGCAGCTTTCCAAGATGAAGCTGGCATATGTTCATTGTGGGGCATTTCCAACCAACAGTTAATTCCTTCTCTTTCATATCACAAAACTATGGAATCACAGCACCGAGGGCTTTCAAAAGCTTCTTCACTGTTACTTTTCATAGTAGCGGAGCACCAAGTCTCATCCTTTAGCTGCATATGATTAAAGGCTCTAAATTAGCTGTAGGTAAAAAGAGCTCAAACTTAAATTTAAAAAAAAACCAACTATGGAAGAGTATACAATAACCTAAATTAGGAGGTTTTTTTTTTTACTTGCCTTACAGAATCCATTTCTTACATTCCTGATAAACTCCAGCTCATACAGAGACCTTTATTATCATCTTCCCTATACTTTTGCAACAGTTCTAAAAAGGGTTGGTACACTTTCCATCCCACAAACTATCCTTGCAAAAAATTTACAAACAATAGGGGAGCCTGCATTAGACAGAAAGATGTTTTTTGTATTGGATTGCTGCCTTAGGCTTAAATTCTTACGTTAATGCTTCAGCAGAGAAGAACTGAAAGGAAAAATCTCCTTGGACTAGTACTAGAAAAATTGTGTTGCTGAGAGGTTTTAGTATCTCCTTGCTTATCAACGGTGCTGCGAGTTTGTGAGGTACAGATAAGCATGCCTATGACTTTTCCTAGCTCTTTTTAACTTCAAAACATTTTTTTTAAAAAAGGAGTTCAGACTATATAGCAAGAACTTAGCCTTGATTTAAATATGCACTTACTGCATCCTGTACAGACAGCTCTTACGCTGCCTGGCACTCTTACCTAAGGGACGGCAGACTGAAGATCCTCCCACAGAGTATGAAATGGTTCAGTCTTGGCTCAGCTATCAAGAAGGCAAGTACAAGCCTCACTCTTGCAGTAAAGAGCTTACACTGGAGGCACAGAATAAAGCTGTTCACAGCAGTCTCTGCAGTGTGCTTCACATATTCCATATGGAGGGCACAGAGCATGCTGAAGGTACAGCCTGAGACTGCAAAATTGACATTCAGAGAGCAGAGGAGAGGCTTAACAGGGCTGGAAGGACCTGTGCCTGCACTGGCTTGTGCTATCAGATAGCTTGCTGCAGCAGCCTGTACCAGCTTGAACGTGCAGAGACTAATACCTTTGTATCCAGACATTATAATTGCACGCTGCTCTTCCAGACATCTGTATTTCAGTCACTTATGTGCAAAAAACTGACAAAAGTTTAAATAAGCCAATCTGTTATTTCCTACCTTTCAGAACCATGTGTTGCAACTGTAAATATAAAATACTGTATCCCAACAGCTATTCTGAACTCACTTTCCCAGAAGGTAAACATCAGGGTATGAGATGTGGACGTAATTGACTGTTCTTATACATTTCCTTTTTCTTTAGCGAGGGGAGGAAGCACAAGCTAAAGTCCCAGTTATATTTACTGCTTGATAGCATTCCATTAAGTGAAATGAGGAAAAAAGGTTTGATGTGTAAATCTGCTAAGCTGTAGCAAGCACAGAATGCATCTGATCATTTATTTAGACCTGGTCTAACAGCAAGCTTGCTTTTGCTCCACACTCAAAGAACCATCTCCTACAGAGGTTATACACACATCAACCATTTTTGTGGATTTATAAACATCTGCATTTACCATACAGTCATCTGTTTTTTCCCTTTTTGGTCATCATTAATGTTACAGACAGAAAGACAGACTCTTCTTTTTGTAAGGTAGAGGAGGATGAAAAGAAGCATCCTGGATTCGACACCCCTAACATACAGGTTAGGCCAAAGACACTTTGGATTTTTTTTCTACTAACAAAACTAATTTGCTAGGGAAAAAAAAAAAAAAACTGCCAAGAAAATAATACTACTGTCAATAAAATGTTTTAATTTAACACTAACCAGCACTCGTCCTCCAAAGATGTAACCTTTATTTCCCAGCACAGCACACGTATGAGCTGCTCGAGGCTGAGGCGGATCTCCACCCTGAAAGAACCAAGATAAGATCCTTCAGAACATCACCAAAGTGGCAGCCAAGGACAGAAGCAAGTCAGTGTCACAGAGATTGCAAAATGAAGGCCAACACGCACTGATACGCTGACAGAACTGCAACTTTTAAAAGAAATCATTTGTAGTCATGTCCAAGGCTTCACAGACATTAGAAGATCACAGAATCACAGAGTGGTTTGGGCTGGAAGGGACCTCCAAGATCATATAGTTTCAACCCCCCTGCCATGGGCAGGGACACCCTCCACTACACCAGGTTGCTCAAAGCCTCATCCAACCTGGCCTTGAACACTTCCAGGGATGGGGCAGCCACAGCTTCTCTGGGCAACCTGTTCCAGTGCCTCACCACCCTCTGAGTAAAAAATTTCTTCCTTATTTCCAATCTAAATCTCCCCTCTTTCAGTTTAAAGCCATTGCCCCTTGTCCTATCACTACAGACCCTGGAAGGTCTCCCCAGACCCTTCTCTGGGATCTACATATTTGCCAAGGACAGCTTTAACCGAGTTCCATCAGTAGCTAATGTTTATCCCTCTTGGTCTGATTTATCATTGCTTTACTTAAGTGAAATTCAATTAATTTATCTTTAATTCCTAAGCATAAAATTACAGTAATACATCAGTTATTGGTGATACAGCCTCTGCAGCTTTTTTTTTTTTTTTTCCCAAAGTGCGAACCATCAGGAACTGGTATAAAAACCTCTGGAAAACAGATCTTAAAGTTTGATGTTACATCCAATAGCCACATGCCAAAAAGTATTCCCTGTGTAAATCAGAAATAAAGATACAAAAATTGACTTTTCCTATTCAAAGGTAATTTCATTTCTTGCATTTAGTTTTACAGGAATTTTAGAACCTTCTATAAAGACCATAAAAGAGCACCGAGACGCTCATGACAATATCCTACTTCTACTGAGTTCTCCTGTAAACTGCCCAGGATTTTATGAAGCTTTATAGCATATTTTCATATTAAAACAGAAGTTTTAATGAACAGAAGTGCGTGCATTACTGTTTCACTGGGAAAGGGAGTCCACATGCTCCTTTGGAAGACTACTAAAGTAACGTATTTGCTGAAGAATATCTCATCTGTTTATTCTGTGGAAGCTGAATGGTGAACCAAGAGGGACTGGCTGTCAAGACCACTGTTCTTTCAGCCCCATCCTTCACACTCACCTGTCAGCTTTGTGAAAAGGGGCAGGGGTGGAAGGAAGAAGTCCCCGGCCAGACCTTAATCTCTCCTACTGTCAGCTCTCAGTTTTCTCTGATGGTTTACCCATGTTGAAGATTAGTTATCCACACAGTCATCCAAATGGCTTCATATCAAAACAGTTCAGAAATGAACTCACGCCAGTTTGTGGACAACACCGAGCTGTGTGGTGTGGTGGACACGCTGGAAGGAAGGGATGGCATATGGAAAAAATTTGACAACCTGGAGAGGTGGGCCCATAAGAACCTCATGAAGTTCAACAAGGCCAAGTGCAAGGTCCTGCACGTGGGTCGGGGCAATCCCAAGCACAAGTCCAGGTTGGACAGAGAATGGATGGAGAGCAGCCCTGAGGAGAAGGACTTGGAGGTGTTGGTCAATGAGAAGCTCAACGTCAGCCAGCCATGTGTGCCTGCAGCCCACAAAGCCAACTATATCCTGGTTGCATCCAATAAAGTGTCGCCAGAAGGTCAAGGGAGGGGATTCTGCCCCTCTACTCTGCTCTTGTGAGACCCCCCTGCAGGGCTGCGTTCAGCTCTGGGGCCCCCAACATTAGAAGGACATGGAGCTGCTGGAACAGGTCCAGAGGAGGCCACGAAGGTAATCCAAGGGCTGAAGCACCTCTCCCGTGAAGACAGGAGACCTTCTAGCAGCCTTCCAGTACCTAAAGGGGACCTACAGGAAAGCTGGAGAGGGACTTTGGACAAGGGCATGTAGTGATAGGACAAGGGGCAATGGCTTTAAACTGAAAGAGGGGAGATTTAGATGAGATCTAAGGAAAGAATCCTTCACTCTGAGGGTGGTGATGCCACTCGGGTTGCCCAGAGAAGTTGTGGATGCCTCATCCCTGGACGCGGTCAAGGCCAG